TCTGATCAAGTCACACAAAGTCCAGTTTGCACACTGGATTAGTAAATGATAAAACATGAACTCTGTTATTTTTTTAATTGCCTTTCACAGGAACTGACTCATCTAGGGTAAATTCACAACTTGTAGTAGAAATGTTCCTAAAACAAAAGCAACCGCGCTCCAACAATCATGATCCCACTTTAAAAGTCCCTTTTTTCTTTTCCTCCCCCTCTCTCCTTCACCAGTAAATTCCATTCTGTTCTCCATCTTTGCTTTGATATGTTCGGCTCGCCTTGTACTGGACGGCATTTTTCTTTTGATTCTGTTATCAAGCACAACGACAGCCAGACGCAGACAAAGATACACACACATGCTAGCTAGACCACCTAGTCAAGTGATTACAGTCGACCTCTGAACCCTGGAGTGGTGAAACAACACCATGTTGGGTCACTGAGGCCTCAGGGCAACCATCTCCTCCCGACTTTACTCAAGAGCATTTCTCTCGCACAAATGCACATACTTTATATCAAAGAGTCAAAGGAGAGACAATAGGACAATACAAAGAAGCAGGGGACATACTGAAGGTGGTGTGTGGAGGACAGCGGAACATGTTAGTGATCTCTGTGTGTATACATGTCTGTTTGTGTATCTAAGGGACAAAGACTCTAATCAGTCATTTAGTTTTATGACTTGGTTGTTATCATATAACATGCGCACACACTCACACGCTTTGTTTGACTGGCAGTGCTGTGGTCATCATCGGTAGGTGAGGATCTAAAGTTATGAGACAATTATGCTGTAGGGGGGGTTGGTGACAGTTAAGCTTTTAAAGTACATAAGCTTTTACCTTTAGCAGAAAACAGTGCATGAAGCCAGAGTGAAAGTGGCACAGCCCATGAACCACTGGGGCTGGTTCTAGTTAAGGGTCTGCCATTTGCTGCTGCATGTTTAGGTGACATGTTTGATTTAGCACAGACTAACCAGCCGGAAGGAATGGACTTCCTACTGCAACACACTGCAATGGAAGAATAGAGTGGTGCGGGGTTGACGTATGTTGTGGGACGACACGGAAGTTAGCATCACAAGATGTGCCTGGACAAAAAGCCAATTCGATTTCTCCAGTGAGTTTTGGAATAATGTTGAAAATAAGATCTGTGGCAAACACATGTTTATGATAATCACACGTTTTGTTTTTTGTTCAGCAGGATAATCTCCAAATATGACTTTTATAATAGGTGACGCGTAAATGCGATCGGCAGAAGTAAATAGCTCCAATAACGTTATCGATAAACTACATCATGGTCGCATGTCACCACCGCTAACCTAAAGGCAGCTAGTATTCAGCTTGATGACGTTTAGTAGTTTTATTGATTGCAACTGCCTTTTTTAAAGAAATGTAAAAGCTTCAGACATTCACGATTGGGGTATTTACTGATAGAAAAAAACTAGTTAGGTGGTTTGAGGGAGGCATCTAACCAAAAACTAATTAAAAATAACGTCTAGAGAAGTGGGCCCAGAAGTGCTAAAGTGCTTACCTGATTACATCTATTTCTTGCACTACACTATAGGCTTGTCTGTACACACAAAATAGATACATTTAAGCAATCAGCTTTAAGAGCGAACATATCAATATAAACAAACATAGACATAACCTCCAGACTCACTCACGCATTGCCAGTGCCATCCTATGAAACTTTAGAGTAAATCAAGGTCTGAACCTTGAGTCTGCTGATATACAACATACTGCTATACTGCACCGTAACTTTAAATGTAGATGGTCTAATGCATATACATGGAACATGACGGAAAACAACACAGCCTAATTGTCCCAAGCTCCAACAATAAAAAGGAGGCTAAAAAGAAGATAGTGGAATACCTGCAGTGGAATACTGGTGTTTGCGCGCCAGATACAGAAAGTGACATATTTATATTTAAAAAAGTACAAGATCAAGTTTAGCAGAGCTACTTTGTTGGTGTTTTGTAGTGCGTGCTGGAATGCTTCTCAAAGGATATAGAGTGGGAGAATTGGATCATGCAGCGCCGGGATCACACTCTTCAATCCCCATTTATTAATTTTACATTTAATCATTTAGTTGATGAAAGCACTTCAGGATGTCAAGGCTCCGTCAGATCTAGCTTAAAAGAAAGGATGTTTTTTTGGAAGGCAAGATAATGTCAGTGTGCAGGACAGGGTGGGAAAGCACAGAGGAGACAGGAGCTGAGGGTGAGGGTGAAGGGAGTTTAGGCAGTGAATGTGCATACTGAGTGACGGGCAAAAACTGTTGAGAAGCATGTACAGTTTCAAAGTGACGCAATAACTGTCATTTTTTTGTAATCTTTCGATTTAATGAAATAGTTTCACACTACGTAAGTGCAAATGATACACACTGTATAACCCATACACTGTATTTGTGTACTCTTTAGACATTTGCACACTTTAATCAACCTAAAAGTTGTATCTTTCTGAAGTACTGTAAAGCATAAAATCATTGCTAAATTAGCCCATTATTCAAAATGCCTACTGCATACCTGCATGGTTAATTCATTTGAGAACAGAGGTGTGACTCATCACTGCATGTTTTATTAAATGAATACAAAAATGTGAAGCAGATGTGTGGTATTTGGCAGATGATGTAGTCCATGTTATGCACTGTGATACCTGATTGTGTGCATCCATTACTAGCTAGGTTCAGTGCATTTCTGAAAAGACAAAGTACAGAATCATTGCAAACTGACTGCATTCAGGGCCATATAAAGCTTGGGCTGCCTAGTTGTTAAAAGGAGAGCAGGGTGTATTAAGGCACTAACAGACTGGAGAATGGTTGAGAGCACGCTATCTGAGGCGAATCCTTCGGCCTGCTGAGGGATCTATAGCAGAGCCTTGACTGAAGACAGACCCACAGCAATAAAGCAGTGTTACACAACAGACCACATGTACGGGCCTGGGTGACAGGTGAGAGACTGAGGCAGTGACTGTGATGAAACCACGGGCATGAGGAAAAGCAGAGGGAGAGATGTGGAACATGGGAGGCAAAGAGACAGAAAGAGGAGAAAGCAGATGACAGAAAGTCGGAAGAGTTTACAGATCGAGAGGGGCAAGGGAATTGAAGACAAATTATTCCGTTTATAATGAATATGTTTTCCAGAGAATATGCTACAGGGAATGAAAAATGACACTAAAGCCAAGAGAAAGACACATGGTGATACACAGCTACTCAATTGCGTAACTGTCTTTTTACAAATGGACACGTCTTTAAAAACTCAATGTATTTAAGTTGTGTGACAAATCCGACAATCACGGCAAAAACTGATCAGGTCATTTATTATTTCTCCTTAACTTGCTTCAACAACTTTCCCTAGTCTCTCTGTCTCCTAAACAAAGCAGTAGTATGTGATTCTGACAATGGTCTCTCAAGAGTTTGCTTTGTTATAACCCTCTTTTAGTCACTGTGAGAGAAGCAAAGTGTTAAGGTCATCTCTTTCTCCGAGCAGGAAACTGTGGCTTTCTGTTTCAGCAGGAGGAAAAAATGCCATTCTCCTTTTCACTCCCTCAACAAAAGCTGCATGTCAGTATCTCACTCTGTCACTGTTCGCCAGTCTGGAAATAGAGTGATGGCACCATTTAGAGCCAAGTGTGAATACACTGTGACACAGGGCCTGACAATAGCACAGACAGTCTCTGTTTGCGAAAGACTAAGATTAGACGGAATCCCCTGCATTTACGCTGCCATCCACAAAGTATTGAGACAGCGGATGTCGAGAAAGTCACATTTATTTCAGTATATTTGACCCTCTTCCTGGCGTCCTTGCACCACTATTCCGTATACAAGTGGTGCCACAATACAATTAACACCTGTTTAATCCACTGAAATCCAGTACCACATCTGCTCCTGTCAGTTAAGTCGGTCAGCTCTCCTATTATCAACTACAATCTCCAAATCAAAAACATTCTGGCCTCCCACAAACTCATTGTTAGGAAGAAAAACAGCCAATGGAGGTTGACAATTTGAACTGCAGGACTAAACTGATTTTTGTATGGTTGTAAACTCTAATTCATCAACAACAACAAAAAAGGCCTTTTCTGTGTACCAATCTTGATCTGGTTTGACTTTATTTGAATAATCAAATATCACAGCCTGAAGTGAGAGAATGCCTGCTGCATATGCTTAATACTTATCCTGGCTTAAGTATTCATTAAAAGTATTACTATGCAAGTTGTTTACAATTTGATAGCAAATGTTTCAAATCAATCTAGTGCATCTGCATACAAAAAGATATAATCTCAATGACACAGGCGTCTGTCAGTCAAATATAAAGCTCCCAAATAATCTATGTTTGAGTGCTGCTCCAAAATTGGTTCAAACCACTGATAACAGAAGGCAGTAAAGGTCAGTATAGAGAGGGTTATTCATGTCCTTCGGCAAAGAAGAGTTTCTGAAAACAATTGTTGTTTGGTATTTACTGCTGCTGATGAAAGCTATCTAATTACCTACATCAAACACGTCTCTCTTCCTGGAGCGCTAATCTCTAAATCTTGTATCCCGATCTCCTGCTTCTGTTGGAACACCGTTTCAACAGGACTAACTGGTCAGATAACATATTTTAGTGTGTTGAAGCAACAAATGACCCCACTACCCTGATGACCAAGTCGACATGTTCAGACAATGCAGGTTTTCAACCTTTACTCTGTGAGACTTGCATTTATATTCATATATATGTCCTTTTTTCCGATTACAATTATGTGTTTTGCTTTTTAGATTAGTGTAACGTATAGGGTATCTAGAAAATCACTATATAAAGTAAATGTATTATTATAAACATTTTGTCACAAGCTCAATGGAGTTTTTTCAAAAGGTAATTCGTAAAAGTATAAACTAATACCCATTAACCAGTAAAACCTGTTTTTTAGACCAGTTATTTTTGGGTGACTGCCTTGAAGTTCTATAGCTAAATGATTAACATCTAGTGTGCACAGACTTTCAGTTTCACTCATGAGATGTAAGATGTGACCAGCCACTTACCCTTCAGTTTCTCCACCACACTCTCCCCGGCTCTCTCCGCCACCCGTCCATCCTCCCTCTGGTAATGGTCATCCAGGAATCGAACCGTAGCTTCTGACAGGTGGACCTTGCCCGCCACGCCCAGCTGCTCCATCAAGTTGGCCAGGTTGACATCATTGGACCACACATCAAACTTGAAGCGCTTCATGCCCAGGATCCCACACAGCACGGTGCCAGTATGGACGCCGACACGCATGTTGACCGTCTCGCACGTCTCCTGGCAGAACTGCTCGATGGCTTGGATCATGCCCAAGCCCATCTCCACACAGCAGTTGGCATGATCTGGACGGGGCTCAGGGCAGCCAGCGACACAGTAATAGCAATCTCCCAGTGTGCTGATCTTCTCACAACAGGTGAGCTCACAGAGCCGGTCAAAACGTCCAAACAGATCATTGAGAAGGCCAACCAACGCTGGTGCTGACTTATTGGCGGACATTCTAGTGAAACCCACAATGTCCGCAAAGAGGATGCTCACAGGCTCCATGCGTTTCATGTTGAACGGCCGGAAGATGATCTGTCCCCGGGGGATGGAGGTCTTCTTGCGTTTGTGATTGTTGTAAGCGTAGTTCTTTGTGCTTGTGGCACTTTGGGCTTGTGAAGCTCCACCGCCTCCTCCACCACCCACTGAGACGGCTGAAGCGGAGCAGGCACCTGAGGAATAACGCTTGCCAGAGTTCTCGCCACCACCCTCATCATCGCCTTGCTTCATCAACTCATCTGCAACCTGCTGCGGCATCACAGAGTGGATCATACGCTCCTTCAAGGCCTTCTCCACCTCTAAGTCTTTGCCATGCATGATAGCCTGGCCCACTTTGAGGAAGGTGCTGCGGGAACGCACCTCCGACATGATGAACAGGTGGATGCCAATGACATGGGCACACAAGTGGAGCAGAGCTTTGGCCGGGCCCAGCCAACGGAGGGTGTCTCCTTCCCTATGCGAACCTGAACCCTCTAACCCTGTCCCCCATCCAGTAGAGTCATAACTCCTTTGAAGCAATGGCAGCCATTCTAATGCCTCAAATAATATAGAGTACAGGAGCCCCAATATCACTGAGGCATACAGACGCACATGGAGGACGCTGTATAACAACAACAAAACCTCCATGCACAGGGAAAAGGTGCCCACGGGGGAGATGCAAGCTGTTGGAAGGGCTCTGTCAGGTGAGGGATGTGAGGAGTTCCCCCTGCCAGCCCCCTCCAGCTCAGTGTAGCCGGCGGTCTGTACCTGTGGAGCTAAGGTGATGGCAAAGGTGACTGCGATCAGGAACAAGGAGGTTTGGTTGTACAGCCATGTGTAGGGCTGGGTTAGGGTGAACACAAATAGGATCACTAGGACAACTAAAAAGGCGGCAGTGGGGGCTAGGAAGGTCATGGGGTGACAGCGGTCACTATTGACCCCAAAGTAGATCCCCCAGAGTACAGCTGCCACCGCCAGGTAGAACAGGACATAACGAAAGCGCCGCTGTGTCTGAGGAAAGCACCTCTCTTGGCAAGCGTCTTCCAAGATGGGGGAGTCAAATTTGGGGTCCCAGCACTGAGCTGCAGAGCGCTCGAACAGAGGAGGGGCCTTCCTCTGCTCCCTGGCAGTGGAAGTCCCAGCTGGTCTGGAGTCTGCTGAGCTGCAGCTGGAGGAGATACTGTATTTGTGGGGGTTAGGGTTCATTTTACTCACAGCCCCATGGCCTCCAGCTCCTCCTCCCCCTGCTCCACTGCTGGCAGCCTTCAGGGGCTCATGTTGATGCACGTGTGGCGCGCTGTTGGAAATCCGCACGGTCACCGCGCCATCTCCGCTAGAGTCGCAGCTCACTTCCGTGCCATGCCTGGGAAGCTGCCGGTGATGTTGCAGAGTGGCCATATTGACTGCTGTGGCGAGGAAACGATGGGCGCGGGAGAGGTGTTAAATATTAATAATGTCTTATGATGGGCCTCAGGCAATTAGACGCGTGAGTGCACATATGGCAGGGAGGAGGAAGAGAGTGACAGGCAGACAGGAGGGAGAGAGCAAAGGTGTTTGGTGGAATAATCACAGTGCATGGATGGTGATCACAGCACAGACGTCTTTGCTACGCAAACAGCAGCCTGCACACTCACTCACACAAAACGCGCCGTTCCAGTTTCTTGAGCAGTTCATTATCCAGCCCCGGGTTTGCGTCAGTACTCACATTACACGTATCCTTCTCCAAAGAGGCTCTGGGTTTGAGCCCGGCTTTCTCTCCAGCTGCGGTAAAAACAATGTCATCACTCTTTCTGCCTTCTGAACTGAACATCCTTCTCGAAAAGGACTGGTTGGTGATGCAACGGATTTTGTATGCCTACATCAAGTCGGTCCTGACGTTACATGACTGGAAATGACCTCCTCTGGATGTGCGTAATGTGTCGATGCTGCTGACATTACAAAGTCAGACAGCGTCAGAAGAAATACCCAGATTGTTTCTTCATTCCAAAATAACGTTGTCTGCGTGGAAACAGAGCTCAGGTCCAGATCTGTATGAGCAGATACAGGCTGTCAACAGCTGTGCACAGCAAAAGTTACACTGTCCCTCTTATCTGCACAACATGCGCGACGAATGGCACATGTACACTTTATTTCCCTTCTTAAAGCACCTAACAAATTGTGGGGTTATGAACAGCCAGTAGGTAGCGTTCAAATTAGTTTTCACTATACAGCATCAAAACTGTAAAAAAAACATATATTCTTTAAAGAAAATTATCAGTTTTCATCTAAAAGACTATTATCGTTTCACATAAAGTGGTGTAGTCTATGCAGTGAAGGTTTAACATACACAAATAATGCCAGCTTAAAATGTTAGCAATTTAACATTGTGTTAATTATAAAAAGTGGGTGATGTGTGATTAAGACGGCTTTACCTTCCACTACAACACTCCCCATGTATGCCTCAGCGTGCTAAGGATTTGCATTCCTTATCCATAGACATTCTCCTTTCAGATGTATTCCAGAGGGCCCATTAAAATAGTCCCGAGTGAGTTATTTTGGAGTCCTGTCCAGTCCAAGATCCGGATCATAAGAGGCCTGACAGGCAGGCCTATTCCCACAGATCCAGCCCCGTCCTTTCCTGAACTACCTCTCCGGATTCTACAGTTTATTCCACTCTGCTTTCCAAAGAGGGGGTCGGGCAGGGGTCTGCGCTATTCAAAGACGCGTAATCCGAAAAGAGAAGCGCAGAAAATACCATCCGCTGTCCCGAATTAGTGTAGGTTTGCCTCTGCTGGGAGTGTCTGCAACTTGTTGCGCGCAGTTGGCAACATATACAGCTATGAGGAACAGCCTCGGTCGGAACAGGCTGGTCTATAAATAGAGACGATCAAAACTCTTGCAAAAACCGCACCGAAGGAGTGTAACATTTGAAAGCTCCTATCCACTTAGTCTGTGGAAGCGCTTAATGTTAAAGAAAAACGTAGTAGGCTACTTGAAATCCATGTCGTAAAACGCATGCAAAACGTCAGCGGTAGGCCCCCTCTGCTTCCAAAAGCTCCCAAACTTTTTTTTTTTCCCAGGCCGTATTTCCTGCGTTTGGAGAGGAGACCCAGTTAGGAGTATCTGGTTATTTGGAGCTGAGGCTGGATTTCCTCCCCTTGCATTTCCCCCCAGAGCAAAGAGAGTAGAAAATTCCCAGAGCAATGAAGGAGATCCTCTGGATAGCTCCTCGGTTGGATTGTCAATAAAGACTTCCCTCAAATAGAATAGTACTATATCCTAGTCTTAACCAATTCCTTAGGTCTGGATAACAAACACAACACTGTGCGTTCTGGCCGCGGTGCGTCCCCTTCCGTCCGCCGCTGGTTGCCTCCCTTTTCCCCTGATATAGCTCTCTGCTGAGTTGGGGGGCTAAATAAAAAACAGATCCACTGCGGGAGTTTCGCGGCAGCTTTTCCTTCTTATCCGGCTGAACGTAATATCTCCACTCCTGTAGCTGCCACCATCTTCGCTGTGACTGGGTCGGAAATCCTCGCCCAGCTGTTGTGGCGGTGCGGGTTGGTGGGACCAGCCTGTCAAGCAAACAACGGTTTAAAAAAACTCTGTTTCCGGTGTTGCCTTTCAAGACGACCAGATATTAGTTAGTTAAATATTTCACATTGGCTTGGACAGAATACAGGAGAAAGCTTAGAAAGGTAACATCATATCAGACTGCTGAAGTTAAGGTTAAATTAATAGGAATATATTGGTATTTTGCAATTTCACAACACAACATTCCTTAGTCAACAGAAACATTGAGGTCGTATAATGTTGATTGAGTCATATTTAATCTATAAAAGGTAGCCTATGTCCATCTCTTGTCCCTAGCCATAGAAGGGAAGGCATCCTTAACATAAAAAAAAAACACCATAGGTACTGAGTTCAGAAAAAGCAAACGGTCGTCGATACGTAGGCTATCAACAATTCTTCAAACGTAACTAACCCTGACCCTATAAGTTAACAAAACTAAGCTATGTAACTATTAACCATGTAAAATACCAACAAATAACGACCTTTAGTTTGAAGGCGGGAACTCTCCTCCGGTGTCTCCCAGCTGTCTCTGTGCGACTTGACGTCTGGCTGAGTGGAGCAATGCTGCGTTCAAGTCACGTGTGAATGAAAGTTTCTACTTTTGAATCCTTCAAATATTATATTTTCTGACAGATTTTTGCGTTGCTACTGTAAATTATGTTTACCCCCACCGCTATGTCAACTGCGTCTACTTGCATTGCTCAGCCCAGGCTGGAAATACAGCTGTCATTACAAGTTAGAAGTTGTGATCAACATAGTTTGATTTTTAAAGTCGTTCATTGAACCTTTAGCTATCATTACACACTCTACTAAAAGTCATGTTTTCAAGTGGCCCACTGCTTAAAACTTGAGAAAAACATTTATTTAAAAGATTCCAGTATTTCCTTGTATGCAGCATGACACATAGCCCACACACATAAGGGTGTGTTTATTAGCTAAAGTTTGGTATATTATTGACTAACCCATACCAGACTTTTAATCAGTGTGGACCTGTTAGTATAATCTGCTGAAGAACGACTAGAATTACTCAGATTGCTTTTATCTGCCTGAATGGGGATAATAAATATATTTTTTCAACAATAAAATCCAGTATGCCGTTGAGGAGAATGTTTCTGCTTCAGAAAAGGGATTTGGGTTTTGAATGTGTAGACTGTGCAAGCAATGCACTTACATATCTGTGGGATGTTAATCAGTCTGATATGTAGGAAAAAAACGAATAGAATATATTGATTTGTATTTGCATATCTTATCAACCAATTATTTATCAATACAAGTGCCCTGTTGTTCTTCTTTGTCTGAGATAAACACAGCCAGAGGGGAATACAACTCATCAACAAAGAAAACTGGAGTGAAATATCACAGGATATTTTTATCATTTGTTTTATTATTTAATTATTTACTTGGCATAGTATTTGTATTCACTTTTAAAGATGCATTTCTATTTGAAGCACATATTTCCTGGGAGATGTTTCTCATAGTAGCATATAGTGGAATTGACATTAGACATTGTCACATGCAAATCCAAGAATGAAAGAGACAGGGTTTTGTTCATTTGTCAAAAGCTAAGTCTCCAATGCCAAGTACTGTATAATAAGGAAATTCAGGGGAAAAGTTATTCAAGGAAAATCGTGCAGAGGAAACACGTATTGTTATTTAGGTCCAAGGCACATTGGCTATCAAATATCCAGCTGGCATGTGCTTCTTCAGCAGAAATGGACACTGTACCGGCATTTCTATGGAGCACAGTGTACTTTCAGATGGAGATAGTGAAGTGATGAGATTGTGAACAGCAGATGATTAAAAAGAAGATGTGTGCGTGTGTGTGTGTGTGTGTGTGTGTGTGTGTGTGTGTGTGAGTGTGTGTGTCTGTGTGTGTGTGTGTGTGTGTGTGTGTGTGTGTGTGTGTGTGTGCGTGTGTGTGTGTCCTCTTCCCTTGATGAAGCCATACTGTTTAAACTTTGAATCCAATAAAGCATGTAGACTTAAGACTATAGTACTATGCTTCATTTAAGTGAGTGTGTGTGTGTGTGTGTGTGTGTGTGTGTGTGTGTGTGTGTGTGTGTGTGCGTGTGCATGCGTGTGTGTGTGTGTGTGTGTGTGTGTGTGTGTGTGTGTGTGTGTGTGTGTGTGTGTGTGTGTGTGTGTGTGTGTGTGTGTGTGTGTGTGTGTGTGTGTGCTTATGTTCGAGAGCTTACAAGAGGCCTGTTTGAAGAGTTGATAAAGCAGCACTGATAAGTCTGTGTTAACATTGTGCTTTGATCTGGAAACATTGTCTGCTTAGCAAACACAGATTTTATTATAAGATTCATATTTACACATACACTTTTATTTTATATGCATGTTTGTTCATGCCCTGCTTCACGTGAGTGTTTGGGTCATTGTGGTGGGTAATGTGGTATTGTATTGGCCATCGTTGGGAAATAAACTCAGGTTCAGCTGCAGGACAGAGAACTACCAGTGAAGTGACACGCTGCTAAAGAATATGGTGACAAATAGGCTTTACTCTGCTCGTAGTACAGGGTGAGGACTTTGTCTTGAATTTGGTCTTTTTGAAAAGCCTGGGTGCTTTATTCTCAGCTGTATCGTGGATTTCATGAAACCTGTTGCAGTTTACTTTATTATACTTAGATTTACTTCAAACAAATGATGATATTTTAATTACAGAAATCATAACACAACCTTTAAATTCACAGGCAACTGCCAACATGTGGCCTCCAAGTGCACAGATTCTTAACTAAACTCTAAAAAGGTAACCTAGCCAACTAATGGTAAATAAATGTCTGGCAATGGACAGGATGTCACAATATTTGTGAATATTTATTTAATTTGACACCAACAGTTATGATCCAGCCTCCAAGAGAAAAATATTGATTTATTGAATCTATTTTCCTGAAATAATGTTTTTTTCCCCCCTTCTGCAGAAGTATGGTTGCTAATAGAATATTTTGGAAGAAGAAGGAACGTTTTATATTGTTGTATGTGATCAATGTTCTAGTTTGGTACTAAATTAAAAATGTGTTTGCATTAAAGGTAGGGTAGGTAAGAATGGAGAAACCAGCTCGAGTGCGCTAGAATTTGAAAGTACGCAGCCGAAAAAATCTGCCCCTTCCTTCAGACTTCCTTACAGAGCCCCTCCTCCAACACACACGAACGCGCACATGACCAATGAGGGCACGAGATAAGTTTGTGCACGAGATGGAAGGCTGACAGGCAGGTAGGCCATCCAGTTATTTTAGCCGGGCCGGCTCAAATGATTGGTCGTGCTTTTTACAGCACCACGGCTTCCACAGATGAACATTTTTTGTGTATTTATTGTCAAAGCATTTAATGTATTCATTGCTATGTTAAGAGCATTCCATGGAATATAAAAAAAAGTGTTTCTGAAGTGAATTACCTACCCCACCTTTAATGTGGCAGGATTAATTAAACAAGTCACACCATTTATTTGTAACGTAAGTGGCTGCAATAAAGTACTTTTTTTGTGGCAGGAACAGTCTTTTGCTTTCTATTTTTCTATTTCCCCTGCATTAATAACACTAATATAATTCAGTCTGCCTCTACAACTCACTCAGCAGTTTGTGGGTCCAACACATTGAACATAGGCGCCTCCTTGTGGCTGTTTTCAGTCACTGCAGGACATTATTTATCAGCAGCTAATGAAAAACAGCATTTTATTTTATTGTGGTTGTAGACTGATATGTGCTCTCCCAGCTTTTACACATTCAATCATGTTTATTGTTATGAACTAATTAGTCTGCAATATTTTATTCCAAAGGTGTAGTTTCTCAAATCGATTGTGAGTTGTGACGATGAGAGTTGCTGCTTTATATTTTCCAAACCCCCTCTCGCTGCATTTTGCAGCTGAACAACCAAATGATATGAATTATGTATCGTATCCATGGAAAATACTTTAAGCTGTAATGTCTTTGTAACCTCCAATAAAGAAATCCAAGCACGTAGATTCATTTTTGTTGTTGTTGTTTACTCAAAAGAAGGAATTTTACAAACAGACCTAAAAGAAAAAGAAAATGATTACAATATTCAAAGGAAATGCCCGTGTGGTATGCCGCCGCGTTCAGGTAAAACTAGCAACAGTTCAGAGGGCAGAGGCATTAAATGCAAACTCAAATCAAATAAAAGCTATACGCTTAAATGACACCATGGTTGTATTCAGTCAATTCAGTCTCATGAATGAGAAATGCTGAAATAAAAGATGTTACTATTAACGTAGAATAGTACAATAAAGAAAACAGTACAGTATGCAGTAATGTGGGGACTAAACATGGTTCTGCTCAATAAACGACTGCGAGAGCAAGCTTCTTTCTATTGTATTCTCCCACCTATGAAAAAAAATAAGCTTCCTGAAGCGGTAATAACCTACCCTGGTTTAACTGTAAAAACACAGCAGTTGAAACTCAATCTTCCGCACTCGCAAACAACACAGCAGACAAAAGAGTTGCAGCATCAACTGTATGACTGGTGAATGACAACCGCTACCAGCATCTGTTTTAGAAGGAGAACACTTGAATAAATAATGTACAAACTTAAAAACAGTGAGAAAAACATTCATTCTCAGATTTCATTAACATGGAAGGTAACAAAGGAAATAGAGGTCTGGGATTTTCCTGGTGTAATGATCGGGAAGTTTGTTTCTCCTGCAGACATTTCTCACATTTTGCAGACAGCAATAGCTTCAGATGGAAAGTTGACTTGAGGCCTCTTTTACTACATTACATTACATTACATTTCATTTAGCTGACGCTTTTATCCAAAGCGACTTTCAATTACCAATTACAGGGACAATCTCCCTGGAGTAACTAAGGAGTAAGTGCCTTACTCAAGGGCACACTAGTGGTGGTGTTCCTGGCGGGATTTGAACTCACAACCTTCCGATCTTCAGCCCACCTCACTATCCATTAGACCACCACTATACTACTTTTATTTCCATCCAAACTCCCCCAATATGTCACTTTTTACTTTTAGTTTTGACCTTAATTTGATCTTAATACCAGAAGGGTGTCTTACAGGACAATGTGCACTAGATGGTTGATGAAAAGTAATTGAAAATCACTTGGGGTATAACTTTCGGTCATATACAATGAATTTGAACTGTCAAAATCTATTTGGTACTCCATCCAGGTAAAAACAGGCAGAAAGAAGTATTCTGACCCACATGTATTATCTTTCTCTCTCCCCACATGGTCTCCCTATACCCAGTTCTGAAAATCACAGCAGTGAGGATCACTTCAGAAAACCCTCTGGTTCCTGCCTCCTCTGTTCCTCCTCCTGCACCCCTCTCCTACATCTCACTGCTTCCTCCAGCGGTTCTTGGGTTTCTCCTCACACCCGGGACCCTCACAGGTGCCGGGGAGGGGGGGTGGAGGTGCGGGTGCAGCCTTCACTGGGGCAGGCTTGTCTGCGGCCTTGCTGACGCTGCTGAGCAGAGCGGGGAGCTCGTGTGAGATGGCCCTCTCCAGCTTCTCCAGCAGACAGCCTCCGCTCCAGCTGCAGTGGGAGGAGAGCTGCTTGAAGCCGGACACCGGGTTCACTCCGAAGAAGTCCTGGTAGGCCTCCTTGTTGGGCAGGTCAAACTTGCTGACGTTGGTTTTGGCCAGAATGGTTTTGAAGATGTAGTACTTGTCGGGGTCGCTGACAATGTCTTGGAAAACCTCGTAGGGGTCACTGAACCATCCCAGCTTGTCGTTGAAGGTCTGCAGGTAGCGGTCCACCAGCAGGGCGTGGATACGCACACGGATGCCGTGCTGACGGATGAAAGCGATCTTGTTCTCCATCTGATTCTCAATCACCTGTAAGGGAGGAGAGAGGAATCAGAAGAGACGGAGAGAGGATGAATAACAGACAAGATGCTTATTGGAAGTGTTTTGTAAGCCATGATTTGGCTTGCTTTTGATTAGCATTCATAAGATTATATAAAGACCAACTATTAGGATGTTGCTTTGGAAAGTCTCTCTGTATGTTTACTTTTAAAATAAAAAATCACACTCAAAGACAGGATAAAGGATTCAAATAGGTTTTTAAATATCTGAGGCCCATTTATTATAATCCCACGAATCTGAGAAGCGATAATTTTAGCATCAGTAATAATAAATACTAATTCTTTTAGATTAATATACGTGCCGATTGTATATTTGCCTATTGTAATCAACCCCCGATTTAATGATAAACATTTGTTTTTATCATTTTTTCATTTATGCAATGGTAGTTGAAGAAATGTGGTATGACATACAGTATGGTTACATTATAAGTAAGCCAACATATTTGTTATTTTTTTATATAAAATTACTAGAACAAAATATATATAATTATATATATATTAAAAAAACAAAAAAAACTCTGTTTTCTAACTCAGAGACCTTATTTAAATTAGTTTAGGGTGAATGAAGCTGGTGTTTAATTAAGCATTTACAAAAAACCATGCTGTGTTTTGTATAATTTTGTAAACAAAACATGTCATGCAGTCAGACCTGGTTGAGGTCCTCCAGCAGAGAGATCTCCTCCTTCATGAAGAGCTCCCGGCTGGTGTCTGCAGCGTAGTCCTGAGGCCAGAAGGAGCTGACGTACACCCGAGGAGGCTCCGTGACTTTCATCAGCGGCGCCATGCTCCAGAACAGAGCCCCGTACACCCTCATCAGGTTCTGTGTGGAGAGACTGTCGGCCTTGTTGAGGATGAGGCGAATCTGGGACTCGCGGCCCTTCATCTGCTTGAAGAGCATCTCCAGTTCCGCGCCCACGTCCAATTTGGTGGGGTCGAACACCTGGAAGATCAGATCCGCTCTATCGATGAACCACTGGCACACATCATTGTAGGGGTAACCTGAGGAAGAGGAAAGAGGAGAGAGGAGACACAATGCACACATGAATGTTTTGGCTCTTTGAATGGCAGCCAGACTGACCCTATGTTATTTGCTTTGCGTTGTGTATTATTTTATAATATAACAGGCAGCAACTTATCAATGGGTTTCTGAATTTGTGGTTGAGAAAATAGCACATGAAGTGCTCGCAAAGATCCCTGAGTATGGATGGAATACTGACAGGCCCGGGGGCCCAAAGTTTAAGGGCCCCTGTGCCCTAAACGTACAAAATGACACTAAAAGAGACACCTACCAACTAGAAAGAGACCCACAATTACCTCAAAGGAACATACAACAAATATAAAGGGATACAAAAAGACTACAAAGAGACAAAAACAACAAGAAACCACCAGGAGACTCACAACAACTATAAAGTGTTTACATGTGATTGCAGGCTGTGTGTAGGTTGTATTGATTCTGTGTGTCATGTAATCACTGTTGAATGTTTGATGTTGCCGATATTGGCACTCAGTCTACAGGTCCTTTGGTTATCTGCAACTTTGGTGTACAAAACATTTCCATTAATGGTCACCTCTCTCCTGCTGCTTGCGGTTTTCAATGACGCCGGGTGTGTCGACGAAGGTGACCCTCTCCAGCAGCTTGTGGGGCATCTCGATGCCGACCAGCCGCTCCAGGAAGCCTTGGCCGAACTTCTCCAGAGGTGAGAAGGACCGAGAGCTGTCTGCTGCCATGACGATGCCCTCTACGGAGCGGAACTTCTCCCCGTGCATTATGACCGTGTACTCTGAGGTGGTGGGCTCAGCGCCTGGTGGAGGAAGAAGGGGGGGGAGGATTTTATAAAATGTGTACTGAAAAGTTCGTTTTTTTCTTAGTGGTTTGATGGTTACATTTGTAGATATCTAGGAATCTTTCCACAAAAAATAGCATGTGTTGCCGTTTACATGCGCTAATAAATAAATGATGGACTGAATTACACCTCAGCACTAACTACAGATATTTAGCTTATATTTCATTACTATAAATACATTCATTGAGCTTATTATTAGCTATCTGTTGGAGGAACAGATGGATAGTGATATATATAAACAACAATTTTGTATTAAATCTAGTTTAAAAAGGATGTTGTTTCCTGCATATTTCAACTCTTCATAAGCAGTTCAATATGCCTCAAAGTGACATTGTGTAACACATTCTTTCTCATACAAACAAATCTTCAATTTAACCCTTGTGTTGTGTTCGAAAGCTGTTACCGTTCATGGTGTTCGCGGGACAATTTTGACCCATAATTTATTTCAGTCCAAAACGCAACAAATAAATGACAATCATCCAATATTGTTTTAACTACATTTTAACTAACTTATTATGCATTCATAACCGTACAATCCTGTACAATATTCTATGGCCCCAAAACACATTACACCACATATTGCACACGTGCATGTGTGTGTTCAAGTTCAAGTGTTAGTGTACATATTCTTTGTGAAAGGTTGAGTTCCCGTGGGGGGAGGGGGGCCAGAGGGATGGGAGACCAGGTGCATGTTGCAAAAAATTATTGTTAAAGTGGATGAAGGGGGTGGGGGTGGGGTGTCTAAAGTCTAAAAGATGAATCTTGATTGGGCCAAATTTGACCCCGAGTGACCCACAACAATTCTGCTGGGTCTTCCCAGACCCGAACACCAAATGATACACATTTTTTCTTTTTAGAGATCTTCAGACTTGGCTAAAATTGTCAAAATCAGTTTTGTAGTGTTTATATAGCTGTTGTGGAGGATATCATGAAGCCTTGTTCCGATAAAAAAAACTAGAGCGTAGTTATTATATAGTTTTAACTTGAAACGGGTCACGGGAGACCCGAACACAACATAAGGGTTAAGTGATTTTCAACACCACTCTGGTTTACAATTGGTATAAAAGGAATATGACTGTATCACATGCATCAGGTGGGATCAGTGCGAACCTGTGTAAAGCTCCTGTGGAGTACCATGGAGACCCAGCAGGTAGTTGATCATGGAGGACTTGCCGACACTCCACGGTCCCAGGAACAAAATCATGGGCTTGGAGGTGATCTCACCGTCTGCAGAGTGACAAAGACAAGAGTTTAGAGAAAAGGGGTAAACATAACAACATTTATTTAATAAAAAATGTGCAGCAACATCTAGCTTTTCGTAAAAATTATGATTATTATTATTATTTCCCATCTTATGTTATGCATCTTACTGTATGTATTCTGTTTCATCCCTATTTTCCCCTAAATCTTATTTTAACAAATGTACTTTATTTCCCATCTTATTTGATATTATTGTGGATTTCTATTATTTTCTTTATATTCAATTATTATTAATATAATATTAATATTCCCTGACACTCCTGTGCATGTTTTTCCATTCTGTACCACAAGGGGTCCCGGAGTCACATGTCACAGTTTGAAGACTTCATCTTGCTCCTTGGTATAAATAATGGTCCTGCCCTCAAGTGCAATGGAACAAACTTGTAGGAAGTCTGGCCCACACAGCGTTCTCTTTCATTTTCAGCAGACAGAGTCCTTATTGTGCTTCTCTGCGTGCCTGGTTTGAATAAAGTCTGGCTCTAGTTCTTCTTAATCATTACTTTATTTGTGCATCACTGTGCAACTCCAGTTTATCAAACCATGGTGCGGTGAACTGATAAAGAAACTGTGAGGAGTGCTTAGTGGATTTTCTGTTGGATAGTAATGTTGGCTACGTTTTTCTCTTACATGACACTGTTGGTAAATGAAGTGATCAAGTGTCAGACGACCATTTTACCACTTATTGGTGGCTGCGGCTCAGATGATAAGTGGGCAACCTATCTACCAATCACAGGTCAGGGGTTGAATCATCAGAACCTGCAGCCAACATGTGTTTGTGCGAGATACTTAACCCACGTTGGTCCTGGTTGACATTTCATGTATTGTAAAAACCAAAATCTCACGAGTGGATTCAAAATTGTGATCACGATGTTCCTGATTAAAGAGTTGCCAGAGTGGGCCTGTAAAGCCTTAAGTGTTGCGACATTATGTCCTCTTACTGCTCTGTCCCTGAGTGCAAGTCATACAGGAAGGACTGGAATGCTGTTAAAATACCTTCTGAAGTGTCAACTTACTTAGACGTACATGAGTCCATGAGCTAGTTTTTAGCTACGTTACACTGATAGCTAGCCAACTGTTAGCTCTTTAACCACCGAAAATGTGGATTTCATGGAGGATACGTAACTGGGTCCCCAAAACCAGCTTCAATCTCGTTAATTGTGTTGTTTAAATTATGAGACGTAAACTTAGCAGTAACAGGGTGTAACTGTATGCTATGGCTAAAACGTTAGCTAGCTAGCCATGGCTTAACTATTGTGTTTGACTCTAATTATACCACTATGATAGCTAGCAGTTTTTTGATGACTGTTGTAACATGTTTGCAAAATGTTATCTTCTTCACATTTTGTGATGTTTTACTATTCTGACAAACTACTCTAAATGCTTCTGTACAGGCTGTGATGCAGGTGTAACAGGAGGCTGGTTTACCTGTGACCTCATGCTGCCTGAGCTCGTTGTACTTGAAGGCTTGCTCCATTGGCTTGATGGCATTGTGGTAGATGCTCAATAGTTTCTTCATATCAGCTAAAGAGAGAAAGAGAGATGAGAGACAGGGAGAGAGAGAGAGAGAGAGAGAGAGAGAGAGAGAGAGAGAGAGAGAGAGAGAGAGAGAGAGAGAGAGAGAGATGTAATAATTGGGATGTAATGGTGAGAAGACATTTTGGACAAGAGTATTATTAATGCCTTTGCTACCATTACTGATTACAACAGTTCCTTTGGCATTGCGTGATGAATTGCCCTCATAAAGTTTATTGAATGGAGCTGAGGTGATTAGAAAGACTGCTCTGCTGCGGCACATTGGCCTCTCTGAAATGAATCTTGAGTTACACATTTGCACTGATTAATCACCTGCTTCGAGACGTGTCTGTACACTCATAGCATAAACACATCCGTACAGTGCACACACTCGCACGTGACAGCCCCTGGACCTAGACATCATGAAGCAATTTTCAGAATAGTTTTGGTCGAAAATCCCCCCAAATTGTCTCAAACTTCCTTTCATTCACATGCAGACACATCTGGGTTTTTTTTCATTGAGAAAAAAGCTGTAAACATTCTTTATTTCAATACAGAGCTTCAGGCTTTTCTACAGCAACCTCCGAAAGACATTTTAAACATTGGGAAACACAGCAGTTATAACATTTTGATTAGTAGGGTGTAGGTTTCTCTGTGTGCATGTATGTGTATGTAGTACCTGTATTTGTGTGTGCAAGTAAGAGTGGGCAGAGAAACTGCAAATCTCATATTGTCTCACATTTATAACTTTAGGATGTCTTTGTTCCTCACCTGAGAACTCATCTGAGGGATCTTCAGTAGCCAATCGCAGTGTGTCCTCGATGTGGGAGCGGTCCCTCAGTTTACGGGCTGATGCATTGCGCCCTGATTGGAGGAACAGGTTGTCAGTTAAGGTCGAAAGCCCCTGGCTACCGACATGGTTACAAACAAAATTCTCGCCCTGGGTAAACAGTTTCCTGAGTTGTGAGGGACAGTGCAGGCCAACTGTTATGTCATTCATGCTGGTGGTCATCCAGCTGTCTATTCCTTTCCTCTGCTATTTTGGTTTGTTTATTTCTGTACCAGAGGTTGTTGCTAATTCCTCTGCAGCTACAGTACACATAGTGTCATTTTCAGGGTTATGCATGTCTGAGAGAATAATATAGAGACCTTTGCTGTCATTTAAAGGTGGGGTAGGTAAGTTTGAGAAACCGGCTCGAGATACACTTTTTGTTATATTCCATGGAATGCTCTTAGCATCCCGATAGCAATGAATATTTTAAGTGCTTTGACAAAAAATCCATAAAAAATGTCATCTGTGGAAGCCGTAGTACTGTAAAAAGCACGACCAATCATTTTAGCCGGCCTAGCTAAAATAACTGGATGGCCTACCTGCCTGTAAGCCTTCAATCTGTGCACAAACTTATCTCGTGCCCTCATTGGTCATGTGCGCGTTCGTGTGTGTTGGAGGAGGGGCTCTGTAAGGAAGTGGCAGATTTTTTCCGGCTGTGTATTTTCAAATTCTAGCGCACTCGAGCTGGTTTCTCCAAAATTACCCCACCTTTAATGTTAATTAAATGTAATAATATAATGTTTTCGAAGATTGTTTTTCTATGGTTTGCTTCCTCAGCTGTTCTCTTTTCCTGTACTAAAAGCTATTATCCAAATTGATTAAGAGAAAATTGTTTTAGTGTTGCAATGTGTCTTAATCACCTGCTAAGGATTAAGATTGTATATTGATGCTTATTTTTTCTTTTTTGTTACATTGGTTCTATCTCTGTGTAAATTATTTGTATTGAAATGTATGTCCTCCTTTCAAAATACAGGCCATGATGACAGAATATTTTCCCAAAAATTGTGTTTGGACATCTCAAACTTAAACTTGAAACATCAATACAATTGTTACTCTACTTGAAATGCATTACTTTGCACAGCCAATAATTCTTTAAAACTTAAAAGATAAAACCCCTTTTCATTAAACAACCTCCAATGACTCTCACACAAGTGCAATGATTGAGATGGTGAAGGGGTTCAAATTAAGAGATGGGAAACTCTTTTAAGACTCAGCCATCATCTTTCATAGCAGGTGTCAACACCCAGGCATCAGATAATGGCGTGCTCCCTTAATTACAGAAGTGCCGACTGGATGGGGACAGATTTACTGCAACAGGATCCCTGCTGCTCGACTTGTCACTGCTCGGACCCTCTGACGGGATGAAGGCAAGACGTCGGTGTAGATTTGTGTCAAAGATTTAAGTGGATGATAAGGCCAAAAATATTATTGCAACATGTATTTATATTCATCGTTGTCATATATTTAATGATAATAATGGTTGATTTAGTATTGAGTATTCTCTCCTTTGGGCAGAGCCCTGAAAGAAAGGTTAATTGTGGTTTATAAAATAACATTATTTATTAGTAGAACGGGTCAGGTCATTGAGCAACAGATATTTACCCTTATTAATACTTAGTTAGCCCTAATTCGACTAACTTCCTGTTTAGCTCAATTTTAACTCAGCAAGGACAAAACTAAATTGTATTACTTTATCAGAATTACCCAATGTTATTTGAATTTATACATTTCTGATTGCCGTTGTGATTCTCAAAACAATTTAGCCACTGTTTGTTGCAACAGCGAAGCCTATGGCCTATTCGTTTTTTTGTTAGCCTAGTAGGATTCAAAATAACTTTTATCAAAGTCTATGATAGTATAATCATAAATAAATCATCATACAGTTCAGAGAACTTGTATAACCCAGTCCCTTTAGTTGCAAATCTGCTACAGTTTTTCTTTTGAGATTACAGGAGAGATCCTAAACTGTAACATTAAAGAGAGACTAATGACATACTACAAAACGAGATGGTGTTATCTTTGTGTACCTTTGGTTTTCAGCTGTGCAGGCTTCTCTGCGGTCACCTCCTCCGCCGTCACCTCCTCGACCGTCACTTCCTCCACCGTCACCTCCTCGGCAACAGCAGGTGCTTCCTCAACAGCATCCACTGATGCCTCCTCCACCGCCTCCTCAACAGATTCTGGTGTGACATCCTCCACAACAGGCTCTGGCTCCACTTCAGGAAGAGCCTCTGGTTCTGGTTCAGGCTCTGCAATCACTTCTGGTTCTGGTTCAGGCTCTGCAACCGCCTCTGGTTCAGGCTCTGCAACCGCCTCTGGTTCTGGTTCATGCTCTGCAATCACTTCTGGTTCAGGCTCTGCAACAACCTCTGGTTCTGGTTCAGGCTCTGAAATGACTTCTGGTTCAGGCTCTGCAATCACCTCTGGTTCTGGTTCAGGCTCTGAAATGACTTCTGGTTCTGGCTCTACAACCACCTCTGGTTCTGGTTCAGGCTCTGCAATCACCTCTGGTTCTGGTTCAGGCTCTGCAATCACTTCTGGTTCTGGTTCAGGCTCTGCAACCGCCTCAGGTTCCGGTTCAGGCTCTGCAATCACTTCTGGTTCTGGTTCAGGCTCTGCAACCGCCTCAGATTCTGGTTCAGGCTCTGCAATCACTTCTGGTTCTGGTTCAGGCTCTGCAACCTCCTCTGGTTCTGGTTCAGGCTCTGCAGTCACCTCTGGTTCTGGTTCAGGCTCTGCAATCACTTCTGCCTCGGTTTCTTCAAGGTCTGAGTCTATTTGAGGAAGCTCAGCTGGTTCTGCTTCTGGTTCTGGTTCAGCCTCTGCAACCTCCTCCTCAGTTGCATCCTCAGGAGATTCCACACTCTCCTCCTCAGCGACTGCTTCTTCAGCAGCAACTTCCTCCTGAGGTTCACCTTCTTCCTCTCCTTCCTCAATGTTCTCCTCCTCTTCCTCAACTTCAGATGATGCAACCTCCACAGCTACTTCTTCCTCCTCCTCAGCCGCCGCCTCAGATGCTACTTCCTCTTCCTGTCCATCACTTGTTACCTCCTCTCTGGAAGCATCCTCCTCCACAGGAGCTGCCCGCCCCTCCTCTTCTTCATGCTCTGAGGCTACTGCTGGCTCTTCCTCAGTATCTACAGCTGATGGAGGTGTGCAGGGCTGGCACAGGGCCCTCTCAGGGGCCGGGGTGTCATTGGAGGAGCTTTGGCTGCCGTGCTCCTCTGTTGTGTCACACCCACAGGAGAAGAGGTCTCCCTCCGGCTGCTGGAGCTGCAGATGCACCAGAGGCTCCTCATTGTGGACGGAGGACCCTGCCAGGAGACCCAAGAGGAGGAAACATTTTAATATGCGCTTCAATCAGCACCAAGACAAATAAGATCTCGGATTTCAAATGTAAAGTTGATCTCTGATGTTTTGAGCTTTTTGATGGAAAAATCGTTGGAAATAATCTGACCATCAGGATGCACCGTGCAAACCAGCTGAGTCTCTGAAGGTCGATCACCTTTGTGTGTTACGTCACTGCTTGACCAGTGTGCTCAGTCACTGCAAGAACAGAGCAGATCAGATATCCAACACCTCCTAGATTTAAGACTCACATTTCAGCTCCTTGAATGGTGACTCTAAAGCGGGGACTATTTGAAGCAGACGTACGATGGACAGTTGCGGCAGACAGTTGTTTGGCGGATCTAAAAGAAGAGTGCTGTGGGCAGGGTGGCTTGGAACATAATAATGTATTCATTTCCATTTTATACATATATGACGTATTCATTTTTTATATTTAATATCGTTTTCTGGGGCCATTTATGTGTCACAATGCTGCTTTTGACTGACTCCCAAAACACTGGTGACTGTAAGGTCCCCTCTATACATTCTTAATGTGAAATATATGTTGATATTGCAAACATAATCTCATTAAAAGGGAGGAAGGCAAAGTATATGAATGTCTGTTTTATTGGATGTTTCAAGCTTGACCTGTATGAAGGCCAACACCAATCTAGGCCTATATTTGGCCTAAGGCTAAAATGTAAACTTGTTGAAAATATTCATATAAAATGTTGAAATGGTTTATTAACAAAACATAACTATATTCAGAATTTCTCCACAAAAATAGAATTTTATTTTCATTTCAACCATAAAAAAATGCAAAAAATAGGCCTGCTGCAATAGTTTAATACATATACATTAAGTATGTCATTCAATATAGACAAAGTTCCCTCAATATCAAAGTCAAATATAGGTTTGTGCTTTTTCTCATCAAGCTGCTCGCACACACAGGTCACATCCTGGCGAACAGGCATCCCCATCCTTTAGAATCATACAGTAAATTATAGTTGCCATGGCTTCAAAACAATCACAGCTAAAACAGGGGACTCCTTCTCTATTACACCACATTCTTACATGTACATTAGATGCAACCACAGTGTACAGTGACCTCTGTTTAATTATAACTTGAGACTGAGGGACGCGTAGTGGTACACCGTGTGATATGAGGCAGCTAAATGTATGTTCAGTTCATGTTACAAGATGGGGTCAGCAGCATGCAAGATAAAGACTAATGGCTGTAGGCAGCTGTCCAGGGTTATACACGTTTGTAAGGCTTCAGGATCAACTCCTTTCGCAAGCTAACAGGCTAATGCTAAGGAAGTTGCAAGAGCACTTAATTTGCACACTAGGAGTTAGAGCGTAACAAATCTTTATTTAAAGTCGAGTTCCAGGTTACCTGCTGAATGTAATTTAAATATGCACTGACTTTTAGCTGCGAGAGTCCTTTTAGTTGCTAAATGCAATGTTATGTTCACAAGCTAGCCGCTAACTGAGCTGCGTGCTGTTAGGTTCTGAGCAGGTAGTGTAGGCCACAGGTTTTTAGAGCTTATTGACAAAAATACTGCCTCCTGAGGGCGAATTGACACTATGAGAGCGGTGAGAGTGAACAAAAACAGTAAAGTTGCATCTGGACAACAACTCACTTTACAGCCAGGCTAACAAAAGCCTGCAGCTAAAGTGTAGCTACATATTTTGGTCGTAATATCTAGGTCATCATTGCGAGTGACCTCCTTTCACATTATCATTTGTTGCGGTGTTATTAAACTAAATAAAATCCAATTTTCAGTAAATAAATTGTCTAATTGTCATGTACTTAAACTAAGAAAGTTTCAAGTACTGACAACCAACAAATATGCCCACAGTCCTGAGTCTTTGAAGGATGTGCCAAACAGTCACAGGTATTTTTAATATCTCTCTAGTCAGGTTGAAGCTATGGTGGAGTAATGCTAGATATTACATGATCTTACAAAACGTTGTACCAATAGGAAAGTATCAGTGTAAGATGTCCCGCCCTGACAGGTCAACACAGTCTCATGGCATTTCGTGTTATAGTCACGAAATTAATCTATTGATTCGTGTTCACCAACACGATTTTAAAAGCAATGTAAATAATAACAAATTAGAAGGAAAAACAGATAAAAAAAAATACAGATTTCAGTATTCTGACACAGAACGATTTTAGAAGCAATGTATTTCTATTGGTAGTATGTCTCGTGCCTGCACCAAATAATAACAAATTAGAAGGAAAAAGAGATGACAAAAAATACAGATGTCAGTATTCTGAGGCTCTGAGCCCCATTTATTTTCCTCGTGGACGGCAAAAAAACTCAGACATTATACAATTTAAAATAAAAGGGATAGGGTTAGGCTTAGGGTAAGATATTGAGTAAGAAAATGTTTTTATGAACCACACAGCTTCCGGTCTTCCAAGACCCGACCGGACAAAAAGACGTGGTGCAGGCACGAAACATACTACCAATAGAAATACATTGCTTTTAAAATCGTTCTGTGTGACACGAAAAATCAATAGATTAAATTAATTTCGTGACTATAACACGAAATGGCGTGAGACTGGGTTGGACAGGTATAACACAAGTAAAAGGCGAATGAGAGATGTTTCAGTAAAGCGATGCTTGTACTGTCTAATCAGGCAACTAGTGAAAACACCTGTGTGAGAATAGTGATTAAAACACATTTAAATTTCAAAAACATAAACAATGTTTCTATGTGTCCTGGTAGTCAAAAACACAATGTTTTGGCTTTTTTAATGCTAAGTTAATTATTCAGATATGATGTAGATATTTTGATATTTTTTTGGCTATGGCTATCAGATGCTTTCTTTTTTAAATGTGGATGTGAGAGTACCAGCGTAAAGCCTTGAAGAGGACACCACCAAACCATGCATCAGCTGCTTCTTCATTTATATTTGAAGCAAGATGGAAGATGTAATGCTCATTGAGCTTCCGGAAGTTTTGTTAGCTTATCGCCTTCTGAGGGAATTACCAGTGTTAGTGAGCACAGAGAACATCAAGTTCTTGTTCCTAAAGCATCTATGCTACAAGCAAACTGGGTATAAAGACATTTTGTTCTTGACTTTTAGCAAAAGTATGGTCCTATTCCAGGTCTAAGCAAAAGCCAATTACGGAATCTACTTATAGCTGTTTATTGTATTATGAACCCATTCAAACCTTCAAGTAACACCAAAGTCCAGTGCTCGGCTGGGCAATTGCTGTTCACAATTTTAATAATTGTTGAGAGTTAAAGTCCCAAAATCAAGATATTTCAAGAGCTAAAGAATAACATATGACACATGAATCAGCTCTGCAGACATATATTAAAGGTCTGCTGATTTTAAGAGACAGTCTTCCTTGCTGTCGCTGGCAGAGGTTGAGGTGCGAGCCTGCCTCCCTCGTAGCTCTTCTGATCGAGCTATGAAGGAGGATTGGATGCTGTCCAAAGACATAGTGCTACAGAATCTTCTGCGTTGTTACATGAAGAGCAGCCAAGATCCTAAAGTGCGTTGGTGAAGATGGGTTGCCAAAGTTATATTGACATTACTTTACGTTATCTGTGATGATTTTCTCTGGCTTTAATCCAATTGCCTGGTTTATCTGAAGCAGATATGTATGCATCTTGATGAGGATAAGAGCATGGGACATAATATGTATAACAAATTATAAATAATGTAACAACAAGGCCATTCAAATCATACAAGCTGAGAGTACTGGTTGTTCTTCGCACTGCATGCCTTGAAATAGATGGATTAGGTGAAGGGATCATGTTCTGCTGGTGACCAGTGATGGCTAAAATAAAGTAAACTTAACATAGTTAGGAAGAGTGACAGAAACATTTGTTGTGTTTTAAGGAGCACCAATGTGTCTTTTTGACTACTTTGGTACAGCAAAACAATCTCTAATATTAACATCAACATTATATTGACATATTATCACAATATAAAGTTTATATAATGAATATTTGCTAAAGAAAGCAGTTTATCATTGCAGCAGAGCAACCTTAGCATTGATTTGAAATGTTGTTTCTTTCCCCCTTATAAATCAAAGTCTAGTATGGGTCTCCGCAAAATCCTGAACCAAATATCTAGTTCTTTTACTGCTAAAATTATTTCGTTTTTTAACTCTGCCAATTAGTGCTGGGCAGATAAAGTAAACATAAAGTTATCTATTTGCTGAAAACGTGCATGCTGCGACTGCACAATCAAAACAATGAGCCAAAATTGACTAAAACGCTTGCTAGAGCTAAGGAAAAGAGTTTGGTGATGGTTCTAAGTGAGTCGAATTGTGCTCTTTGACATTATAAAAAGCCATCTGATCCATTGTTAGCAATGATCATTGCAGGTTAGAAATTGATTGCCATTGATAACCTGAGTTTCCTCAGCCATCAATATTATGCATATCCTGTTCAATAACTTATGTGCCACTAACTTAATCCTTAACATTGTGGGAGTATCAAAGTCAGAGCATGCTTATCTTACAAAAACATTTATCTATCCGCTTCTACCACTGTGAACGTTTAGTGCAATGCGCCTCTCTGGTGGTTCCTCACGTTGCTGCCTGGGCAGAGCGCAGTGTAGCGGGGACAGAGTGGGACAGGTGCCTGGGTTCTGCATGGTTCATCTTGGAGATAGAAATAGCCACAATGAGTCAGAGGGTGAAAAGAAGGAGGGATAATTACCCTTCTATTTTCAGGGGGTGTTGTGCTCTTCTCCTCCCTGTGATTGTCATGAGGCTGGCCTGCACCTCTGCTGCACTATTGTTCACATTCCCTGCAACGCTGGGGGACAGTGTGTGACTCGGTATCTCTTTGAAGAGCAAGAACATAAATGCATAGTTCTGATGTCATGCACCCTGCTTACTGTGTAACTCATCAGAGCCGGGAGGAATGATAAGATGTGTAGGATTTGGCAGCATCCAGCGGTGAGGCTGCTTACCCCTCCATTTAGAAGTTTAGTGGCGAACTACAGTGAGATAAATGTAAAAACGTCCCACACTAAAGCCAAAGTTAGTTTGTCTTTTTTGCGCTAGTAGAAAAATGGCAGTGCAACATGGCGGACTTTCAGATGATTTCACACTCATGTACACATAGTTATGGATAATGAAGATACCCTAAATAATGGACGATTAATATGCTCAAACCCGTGCACAATTCTAATTTTCACACATCAGTGCCTAAAACAAAAACATTAGGAAAGACCATCGTACAGTCAGCTATGATTTTGCATTTCTGGCTCAAAAAACACATTTCCTCCATTTCAGCATGTATTCCTTTTGATTAAGGGTACACACTATTTCTGCCTTGCTAATAAACTTGTCAAATGTGACACTTTCTGAGACATGCCCACTCTCACACACGTTGAGGCGTTGACAATTCACTTCTGTCACTACTTCAATCCATTAACATTCAATTTAATTTCTAATAGCGCTTGATTACCTAATTATGTTACTTTAAACAGTCCAACTGTTGCTACTAAAGCTACGGGCCCTCAGCTGAGCTCTCTCATGCCTGTTTTTATCGGGGACATCCCCCCGGACACGGAGCCTGCTAACTGAACGACAGATTAGCAGCTCAGCAGGCAGACAGCGGGGGCTGATGGGGCTTTATTAAGACATTGAATGCATCACTGACTTTAGCTGTAAACACAGAGTTCATTTGTTCTCATTTATGACTTTTTGATTGCCTCGTAATTGCAGGCATGTGTACCTCAGTAAGTCTGTGTGTGTGTATGTACATGATGTAAATGTGAGTGCATTCCTGAGCATGGATGGATTACTGAACGTGACTACCAGGCCCAGCTAGGGCCCCAAAGTGTCAGGGTCCCCCTGGCCTTCCCCTACAAAATGTAATTCAATGGCACGCGTACGAACTTGGAAAAGACTCAAAATGACCAAAAAATAAACATGAAGCAACTTTAACGAGATGCTTGATAGCTGTAAAGAGATATAAAAAATTGAAAAGGGGCAAAACAAACACAAAGAGGGACAAAACGACTATAAAGAGACCCTAAACAACTTTAAAGAGGCACAGAATAACTATAAAGAGGCACAAAAGGACTACAAAGAGGCACAAAACAACAATAAACAGAGGCTAAACAACCATATTGCCTAGGAATCTTGTTGCCATGTAGGAAAGGTGTTGGGGCTTTCCGAATGTCTGCACCCAGGGGCCCGTTGACTAATACTCCGCCTCTGTTCCTGAGAGTCTTAAAGAGATGCGTATCAGTGAGGTGACCACGGTATCTGGTGACTTTGTCTGACTGACTGCTGACACCTGACTACGGCAACTTGCAGAGGCCAAAATGAACCAGCAGAAGGACAGACAAGGGTAATTTCTGCCTCAGCTTTTACCAAGTATGACAAGTCACTTCTTTAAAACACGTGGAAACAAGCAGAGAAACAATTGTAATAGTCTAAATTACGAATCACTAATGAATATCCGATCTGTTACGGTCAAATATGTTTTCATTGATATGACGTAGAATAAAAGGTAAGCTTGTAAAACAACAAGCAACTGAAATGCCAAAGTCCTCTCTTGAGCGTTGACTGAGTTGCACACATGAATGCAAAATGCTTTGAGAAGACAGCCAGACTGAAATAGATCCAGTGGGAAAACTTCACATTTCTGCCAGGTTTTGCTTTGGCCACAGCAGAGAGTGTCTCTTTGTTGCGAGTCCAAGTCACTCGGTCAGTGCCGTCACTGCGTTTCTCTCCAGGGCAGAGAATGAGCAGCCAGCAGACTGTTTCCATCAGCTGGTGTCACGCCTCAGTCCTGACACAGAGATCTGCACTGCACTGACACTTTTCCTGCCCAAACAGCTGAGTTTAAGCTGTGTTATGTATGTCAGTCAAAATCTTTAACGTATTTCAAACCAACTATGGAAAACTGGCCCGAGGCAGAAGGATCAATTCATGAGTAATGAATGGAACTCACTCAAATGAATGGAATTCACTCAAATATTATTGCACATTTGTACTCATTTGATCAAATAACTTATTAAATATAAGGATATTTTCCTTCATTTATGACCTCTAAAATCACTGCCCACAGTCAACTCAAAGCTATGATGTGTTCAAAGACAGACCAAATACTTCTAGATTCAGATATCCGACTGCACTGGATATTTCACACACACAATGCCTGCTTATGTTACTCCATACACGCACCCCACAGCACTATAACCCTAAAATATCATTACAAAAATAAGATATTAACCCAAACTCAGCCATACCTGCAGCAGACAGGGCCAGCAGAGACAGCACGCAGCACACAGACAGCAGAGACTTCATTTTGGCTGCCAGGGGCCTTCCACTCATCCCCCCCGGCTATATATACTGCCCCGCTGAAGGTCAGAGGGCATGCCAGTGGAGGTGGCGATTGGAAACTGCAGCCATGTCAGCCATTGTGTGTCGGAGCAGCTGCCTGGCCCTGTCAGGAATGTTGAAAGCAGAGAGAAGCAGGAAGAGACTGGCCGTGCTGTAGTCTTGTAGATTTACCACTAATTATGTTAAAGTCGTTGATTTTAATGAGTTTATACAGAGGTGGGAAGTAGTGGAGTACAAATACTTCATTACTGTACTTAAGTACATTTTTCTTATATAATTATGATTTTCTGACGACTTTTTACTTTGACTTCTTACATTTTTAACACAAATACCTGTACTTTCTACTTCTTACATTTTCAAAACAGGTTTGCTACTTTAGTTTTAATCTGTGTTTGGTGGCATGATCATTATTATTTAGAGCAGGGGTGTCCAAACTATGGCCCGGGGGCCAAATGCGGCCCACGGACCATTTTGAATCGGCCCTCAGCAAATTCAAAAAGTATAATGGAATATGGCCCACAAATGAAACTTGTGCTCGTCTTATATTGTACTTCTTAAATATGTGTTAATATTTTAACATGATCCGTGTATCCATCATTTCCTGGTCTTCTCTAAAGAAGAGGGACCAATTAAAACGTTGTCATTTTGCCGTTGTTCAGCATCGAAACATTCATTAGCTAACAATGACATTACTGTTCTATTAATATAAAGGGAGGTCAGTTACTCTTTAAAACAGTTGGTAGTTATGGGTGCTTTTTACTTAAGTACATTTCAAAGCCCATACTTTTTTACTTTTACTTGAGTAAAGAAGTTTAGTCAGTACTTCTACTTTTACCAGAGTATTTTTAAACACGATTATCTGTACTTCTACTTGAGTAAAGGATGTGTGTACTTTTGCCATCTCTGCTTATGTATACAGATTTTAGCTTCTAATTGTCGATAGCATCCAATATTGAATTCATTGCTTTCTACACCAATGCTCAGTAACACAAAGGTATGCTTTTTCTTTGGTTTATGAACATTTCTCAGAGCAGAAGATCTCTAGTAATTGTTTGTATACTAAAAGGAGATTAATATGAGGCCTGTGTGCCAGCTGTGTTTATCACAAATGTGAACTCCAGGCTGCAGACTTCTTTCTGCTGCTGCCAAGTGACTCGCTCAATGTGCCCCCTAGTGGATATAGGAGGTTTATACCATTCAGGATTGAAGTAAAGCAGAGGAAGCAAAAAGGGTGTAATAAAAAAAGTACAAATTTATTTTTTTTCAACTTTACAAAGGCCTGTTTACCCAAGTTTTTTTTATAAACAAAATAGAACAGCTTCTCATCGACCTGGACTGATGGGAAAAGTAAAAATCACAAAAATATAAAAAATGCTTGTCACCAAAAATGTAAAACTGGACAAGAAAGACAAAAAATAGACAGAAAAGCAGAGCACAATAAACAGCTGCCGAGTTGAGTCACAGCATGGAGTTTACAAAGAAATAAAAAATAAGTCTTCCTCATCATTGATTCAGGCAGTACAGAACAGCAAGTGCTTCATATCAAATATCTCAAATTCCACCAAAAGACAGCAGTGCTGCAACACAATGTACAGGAACATTTGGGGTAAGTGTTCAGCTGAACAATCACAAACCTCAGATTAAAATCAGCCTGTGGCTTAACATTAACCAGCAAAACACCAGACCCTTAAACTAAGTTTCACAAACAAAGCATGAGAATATCCCACCATGTTTGGCATGAGAAATACCAGCTACTCTAACCAGAAACAAAACTGATGTAAGTTAATAGTGTCCCCAAATCTATCAAGTCAACAGACAGTTTCACAATGAATTGATCAGTCATGTGTTCATGAAAGAAAAGGAAACGTGTAAAAAAGAAAAGAAAAGTAAGCCTGCTTTAGACAAGAGAAAACAGCAATTAGTAACATGCATTCAATTGGCAACAGAACATATAAGAGATCAAAAGACGGATGCAAATCCAAATAAAAAGGAATGTTTACAGCATCAAGTCAGCGTATCAAATCGAGTATGACAGGAGGGAGGTTCCAAGCAGGGATTTCCAGTCAAATTCCAGAGAAATATAAGCAACGTAACATGAGGCGGACAGACCTGGTGCATTTTAGAGAGAGAGGAGAGATCTGAAAATCTATTCAGTGCTTTTTTAGAGTTTTGCACTTTTTGTGGCTTCTGGAAACATCACTATCAGTTTGCTTAGTTTTCAAACTACCCAGGCTGATCCTAAAGCTTTTTGGGTTAGAGTTCATTAAGATGTGACCTGCCTATTTTTGAAGCTATTTTCCATTTATGTTATCAAAGATCACAATGAAATCACATACAAATCTGCCGTCTCCCCCCTGCACCACAACTCAACAAGCTATTCCAAGATGTGGAAATGACGCATATCATTTTCTGGTAAAAATTCACACACTTAATAAACGTTATTCTCTTGTGAAGTTAGATGGCGAAAAGCACCTTGCGAGTAGTGACTACATTCTTTGATACAAGCATGTCCCGTTTCATACATACTGTATACTGTAGGTGTAATGTACACACCTATCAACGGTGCATAGATAACTTCACCTCACGTATTAATGACACCAACAAACATACTGAAGATGGAATTGCATAAATACCAAAACACTAGTGCATAGTCACTGAAAGCATCAAACCAAGACTAGACAATAGACTGGAAGTCTTTGGAGGAAAACCGGAAGCCTTCATGCAAACAGAGCATGAGAATCAATTCAATCTGTTTCAGATTTCAGCCAAATTATCAAATGGTGAATTTCATAAGAATCAGTCAATGTGTGAATTACTTTTCCGGCTATGAACCAACATTTGGTTCGTTTTTTTTTTTTTAATTCATTTATTATATTAGGGGTGCAACAACCACCACCAGTATAAGAAAAAAATAATGGGGCCGGCTTTAGTGGATTTAATTTTAAATCTCATTTAAAATTAGACTCTTAGAATTCATCTGAGGCATCCGGTTTTCTGTGAAAGCCCGACAAGCCTCCGACTTTGTGTTGTTAATCTCAATAAAACAAAGTGTTCACTTTCGACATTCAGTAACCCTGACAGAAAAATAAAAAAAGGTTAACAAAAACATGTTTAAACATAAAAAACTAAAGGACGATATAAATTGTTCAACAGCTTATTTTAAGGGCTTATTTAGATATCAAAAACACAACCTTTTTCAAGTAAATTCAGACATAATTCCATTCCACATATATCCTCAAATTAACTTTAACTTTGAATTAGAACTTTTAATTTAGAAATGCCTTCTGTTGTAGTTTTAAGTTGGGTTTTGTGGCCGCTGGCGCTAGAATATATCCTAGCAAACCAGGAAACATAGAAAAAAACGAACTAATTAAGACTGGGAAAGAAATACCTGCAACTCCATATCCCTTTTAAGAATCAAGAGCTGCTTTCTTCTGTGTTGTTACATTCAAATCTCCACCCTGCAAGCTCCGTCAATTTGTAGCAGAGATAATACTGTGCCAGAGGCAACAGTTAATTTTGATGCTGCGCCTGCATGGAGCGCACATTAGCGCACGTGAAGGACGGACTGATGCTGGTAGCTTTTTACACGAGGAGACGTTTTCAAGTAGCCACAGACCGGCTCTGACATTGAAAACCCGCCTTTTAGAAATCCCACAGGACCACCTCTACACGCTGACCACCCTAAGTATTCAATCTTCTTCTTTTTTTTTTACAGTACAAGACTGACACAGAGCTTAACCACTGGATTTAGGAGTTTGGATAATGCCAAAGAAAGATTTTTTTTTTTTTTAAAGTAGTCGAGCTCCTGGAGGGAATCTTACAGTGAGTAGGTATTTTTAAGTGTTTGTGTGGGAGAGTTCATGGGGTGGATCAGTTCATTGAGCAGTCCTCGCCCTCCGTGTCCGTGTCTGTGTCCGAGCAGGCGGTGTCCATGGCGATGTGGGCGGGGCTAACGATGACAGCTCGTCTCTGCTCCTCCTCCGCGCTCGCTCTCCTTTCCTGAGCGCGCTCAATGTGCTGGATAGCCTGAAGAAGAGGGAAGAAATATTCAGTCTCTGTCTCGTTACTGAGAATAGAGTCTTATCTTAGTGTTTTTTATTACCAACAGTAAAGAAAAAAACTGTTGCAACATGTGATAATAAAGAATGTTTGAATGGATTGGTAACAGAGCTTTCTTTGTTAAAAAATTAATTACAGATGCAATATTTGTATTTTTTCCCCTTCAGCGTAATGTCCTGAGAGAATTTGAGTTCTCTCTATTAAACAGCTACGCGTTGAATATGTCCTTGGCTTTTATTGTGAAAGGTAAAGAACGGCAGGTAAGAATCAGTTTTGCGCTGCCTTTGTGATGATTCAAGGAAGTTATAACCTCAAAGCCTTTATGTTGTCCAAACTTAAGAATTTCATAACCCCCAGCTACACTACTACCATATGTTGCTTTTTCACTGCTTATTAATGTACTCAAAACAACAGTTGGAAGAAATGTATTATGAACAATGAAGAGGGCCCTGGTGTGCAAAGGCCTTTGGGGTGAACACAATAACATTCACTATAAACTGTTAACTTAAGAGTATGACAAATGTAAACAAAGTGAAACACACTCCTACCTGCACAATAGTGTCCAGGTTCTGTCTGGACGTAGACACAGTGCTGGGGTGGACTGACGGGCTCATGGTCACCACGGTGACATGATGGGGTTGCTGGGTTAGTGTTGGGGCCGGGACGATGACCGTGGGGTGGTGGGTCGGGGCGGGGGGAGTGGGAGGAGCCAGCACCTGGAGGACGGACAGAAAATGAACAAAATGTTACTACATCTGAGACGGTCACTGTTGAGCTCTGCATGACGTAGTTTAAAACACTCTCACTCCAGCAGTTTGTGAATTGCAAAGTGGATGCCAGTGTGTGTGTGTGTGTGTGTGTGTGTGTGTGTGTGTGTGTGTGTCTCTGACCTGTGGACTGTGTGGTCGTCTGTCGGCTGCGTGGATCTG